TGGTTTCAATTTTATGATGCTTTAATTGGTTTTTAATTTTTGTATACTGTTAATTTTAATGATGGGTGTATCCACACTTCAGAATTAAAATAGTTTAACACCACTTTAACTGCTATGACTCTGTCCTACAGAATCCTGTGACTTGTAGTTGGTGAGGTATTCAGCCTTGTCTGTCAGAGAGCTCTGGTGCCTCACAAATCCCAGGATTCTGTAGGACAGTGTCATGGCAGTTAAAGTTGTTCCAAACTGCTTTAATTTTGCAGTGTGGACAGTGGTGTCATTAGGGTTGGCATCACCTGGTGTGGTAACTCATGATGTCACACCCACAACTGACCTACTCCTATCCCACACCATACTGAATCCTTAGTAATGTTTTTATACTAATATTACTCATAAATCATAATTTCCATATAACACTTAATGTAATGATAATAGTTGTGACACAAACAAATAGCAAAATTAAAATTAAACCTTCAAATTACAGTATCATGCACACAGCTTAAATGTATTTACATGTACATTCTAAAGTGAAAATTTGATAAGATGTGATATTTTTAAAGGAATTTAATTTTTAAACTTTTGTTAAAAATTTAATTTTAATTTTTTAAAAAACTAGGCCCTCTCCTTTCTCTTCCCATTCAGCCTCAACCCACTCACATCATCTGTTCAGCATTTTAAAGGGACACAGGCAAATACCACAGCTCATTTCTGCCCAAAAGGCAGGCGTTTGGAGAGCTGTGGTGTCAACTGTCACCTGGTGCCACCTGAATACCCTGCAGCCCCTAGTGACACACTGAGTGTGCATATACTGTATGATTTTTTCTCACTGTTGTAAGCCATCTAGTGAAAAGGTGAGATATAGAGGAGAAGGAGAAGAAAGTGAAAACAACTGTATGCTTAAGTAATTTAGGGCCTTTGCAGACTGCTAGAAATAGTGCAATTTGAGTCCACTTTAATTGCCCTGGCTCAGTGCTAGGGAATCATGGGAACTGTATTTTTTTTTTTTTGAGACATTGAGCCTTCTCTGTCAGAGAGCTCTGGTGCCACAATAAACTATAGTTCCCATGATTCCCTAGCAGTGAAGTCAGGGCAGTTAGAGTGGACTCAATTTGCACTATTTCTGGCAGTCTGCAAAGGCCTTTAAAGTAGTTATTTAGTCACTTTTGATAAAGATGGCGGTGTCGGGGCAGTGTCAGGGTGGAGTCGGGGCAGCCGGCGTGCGGTCACCCTGTCCCAACTCCATCCCCAGGCCGGCTCTTTTGGCCAGTCTGGATCGGTCTGTAGTCTCTTGACATGAATGTCTAGTCGTAACTGACTGTAGTGGGCGGTGCTCATCTCTGTTACTAAGCCAAAAAGCCAGCGTTGTCAGAGACTATTCTGTGATCATGTGGCCACCGTGATTGCACAGAATGCTGTTTACCTTCCCACTGAGAAGTAGTACCTATTTATCTACTTGCATTTGTATGCTTTCGAACTGCTAGGTTGCAGAAGATGGGACTAGTGACAGGAGCTCACCCCATCATGCCGCACCTGGGCCTCGAACTGCCAACCTTCCGATCTTTCAATCATCAGAACTGATGTCTTAACCACTAAGCCACTGCATCCCCTGGGATAAGGAAAGCTGACTGTAATTGGCTTATGAGCCACTGAATTTCTTCCACCTCTCCCAAAAGCACTGCTGGGATCTTTTCCATGATATTGAAGTAATAACAGCCAGTATCCTTGCAATGTTGACTCTCTAGTCTTTTCCTGAGTTGGCTTCTATGGTTAAGCCAACTCCTTCTTATTAATTTTTTTCAGCCCATCCATCCTTCAAAGATTTCATAGCAGTCACTATTACCCTCTGTTCCTTTTTATCCTCACAACCACCCTGTGAGGTACATTAGAGCAAGTAAACAGCCAAGCTTCTCAGGTGAACTATGAACCCTCCAGCATTTCACAGATGAAAACCAGGGCACAAGTGTTCAAGCAATATCACAGTGGGGCACAATGGCTAAATTATTAGTGAAAAAGAACCTAGGAGTGTGTGCAGCAGTTTGCTTTTGACTGCCTACTGGGAAGGGAAAAAGTCTGCCCTCTCCTTTTGGACAATGAATGCAGTTTGAAGCAATTGAAGTGAGTTGAGGTCAATGGGGAAAAGTGAGGGCAAGAAAGAGAAACTCTGACATTTTAAAAGCAGCTGAAAACACAAGATGAGAGACGATTGACCCAGTCTGTCCCTAGAAAATTGGGACAGTTGGAGGGTATAGAAATTTGTTGTTAAGTGAAAATCGGAACTCATCTTTTCCAAATCCTCCTGGTCTATCACTTTAACAACTACATCACAGTGGATTATCAACCATGTATGCAAAGATGAGCTCCAATTATTTATCCCTAGCACTGTCTTGCCACTTCCTCTCCACACACTTGCAGGACTCAGGCAGAAATTCAACCGGTGTGGTCCCTTTCAGGACATCCTTCAACAAGCCACCCGCCCTCTCTGCCTTTTGGATTTCCTGCCTGTTCTGTTCCTGATGAGTCAAAGCCACTCTGCCAAAAACAAGGTGGCCATCCTATTCTTGCTTTCTTTAATGTACAGGAGCCAAGCAGCTGGTAATCTACATGGATTTTTCTGTTTTTTTAGTTCTAGCAAGGAGTTTTGCTGCAGCCATAAGAAGAGGGGATCAGCTGGTTTTGCTTCTGGCTGTAAAGATTTGACAGCCTAGGAAGCATAAATCAGCTCCCCTCCTGTAAGTCCCTTCAGCAGAGTCTTTTAAAGCTATTCACAGCTTATATTAATTAGAGAACCCTCCCAAATTCAATGAGACTATTAAAAAGATCCTGACTGCCACATACCAAATAGCTACTGTCTGTTGTGGTGCCAAATGCACACATGTATATATGTGCATACCCACTGACTCCCACTTCTCTTTCTGTTTCAGGTCTGAATTTAGACATGGTGGCTGTTAAATCAGAGCTGAGGCCTGGCAGGCATGCCACCTGGATTTAGACATGACATCTCAAGAGGAGAGGTTGATTTTAGGGAAATAACAGCCTCCTCTTCTTTTTAAATGCCTACTGAGTTTGTAGGAAAGAAATCTGAAGAAAGGAGCACAAGAAGTACAAAGAAGAAAATATAAATCTCAGCACCCTATCTCAGCTCTTTGATTTGACTAGCCGTAGCACATCAAAGCTGGAAAATAAGCCATATCCTCAACTCACACATGGCTCTTGGTCATCTTCTTCCTGGACATAATTATTATTATTCTATTCTCTACATCTTTTACTGGAAACAGAAATTTATCCTGCTACGTCAAGGTGGGTGACTATGTTGAAGGACCAATTTTCTGCCCTCTCAGGGCCAAGTGCACGGCTAAAAAGGAAAGCAAAATTAGAACCAACAAACTAGGAATAACCAGAAATCCACTTCTAATTTTGAAAAAGTCAGTGTTTGTTTAATGTTAAGCAGTACATGAGGGCAGGAAACAATTTAAAAAGTGAAATGCTGTTGCTGGAGAGTTCCAGAACAGGTGATTCACTTTGGAGAGAGAAACAGGAAAAGGATGGTACAAGGAATGGAGGGGGGGTTGAGGTTGCAAAAACAGCTTGGTGGGATCGCATGTGGCCCCAGGACCACATTGCCCACCACTCAGTTCAGTGCTGGTGACTGCTGCCATAGAAAATCACAATTGGCATAAATTCTTAATTGGGGGATGTATATGTTTTAGTGGATTTAAATGATAGATTCATCTCCTATCTCTTTTTAACCTACAATTCTGGGCAGACCATTCTGACATGGCAGTCCCTGCTTCTTTTCCTTCAGAATCAAATTTGTCAGGAAAGTATTTTAACCCTCACACACTGGGATTTCTCCAGTCCCATCATTTAGTCTCCTTGAACCATGTTTCATTGCAGAATCCACACATAATAAGATCTGCTTTGCAGAAATTCATTCTACAATATTTGCATAGTGGCAGCCAGTGGCATCTGTGTCATTTTAAGAGACTATCCAAGTCATTGAACTTAATCTGGGGACTGTATGTAGCACCTTGGATTGCTCCTTTAAAGTTAAGTCTACAGCTTGCCTGTGAATCCATTGCCCTCTTAACGTGGAAGCTATCAGCTGCTATTGCATTACCACCTGAAGAGTTGTAAACAAGAAGTAGCACACTGTTAATTAATTACAGCGTCATAAGTTAGTTCTTGCTGTTGTGTGCCTCCAAGTCATTTCCAATGTATGGCAACCCTGAGGCAAACTTATCTTATAGGGTTTTATTTGCTTATAGGGTTTTATTTGCAAGTTTCTTCAGAAGAGGTTTGCTCTTGCCTTCTCCTGAGACAGAGAGCATGTGACTTACCCACGGTCACCCACTGAGTTTTATGGCCAAGCTGGGAATCAAACCCTGGTCTCCATAGTTGCAGTCCAACACTCTAACCAATAGGCCATGCTGGCTCTGATAAGTAACTGTTTTCTATTTACATTTACAATTGTGATATCACTGTCCCAAAACCCACCTTAAAATCCAGCCAGCCATAGGACGTTATCACACGGGGCCAAATCCACACAAAATCCCAACCGATTCCGGATTATTGGCCCGTGTTTTCACATGACGTCGCACAGAAACCAGAATGAAAGTGGACAGAAAGTGGAAAGATC